AGTGTGTTTGCCTTTGGTGTCTCCTTAACCTTTCGGAGAAGTGCTGAAACCTTCTGCCTGAGAAGAGCCTTCATGACTCTTGCACACACTTTAAAAGACTACGTTCTCCCCCCCCGGAGGTGCTTGGATCCGAACACTTTTTCCTCTCAAATACCTTTTTAATGGAGTTTAGAAGTTTGGTGTAAATGCCAAGTCTCCAAGCCAAAGTGCCTTTAATTGAGTTGTGCTTTCCTAATTTTCCCCGCCGCCGTTGCCAATCGTGCAATTTACCAGCCGGGTCAATTACTCTTCATATTTCGCAGTGTTTTTAACCTAAATTGACTGCTGGCCATACTCTAGTTTGACCTGAGCAGAATTGTTATGAAGACAGCAGATTGGGGTGTAGCATTACAACTCGAGCACCGTTAGACATGTTAGACCAACAAGAATCAGGTGCTGACCTGTCTGATCTCATTTTCTACAGGAGAAACTGAGAGATATTCTCTAACACTGAATAGTATGGGAGGGGGACAAAAAAAAACATGGTAAAAAGAAAATACTGTGGTCTTCTCTGTGAATATGAAAATTCATCTTTGGATGATAAGATGATTTAGATGGTTTAGGGCACGGCTCCAACCATGAAATTGATTCTGTACACAACAGCGGATAAGCTACAAGCACTCGCAAAAGACAACTGCAGAAGACATCAAGTAATATAAATTCATCTGCTCTACTTCTCTGCCTTTTGTATCAGATTGAAGGTTCTTGCCCAAAGACTGTAAATAGCCTTGCCTGAGACAACACTGCCCCCTGCAGACTTTCTTTTTGAACAGCACACACAATACAATCATATACAGAAAGTACCATAATGAGCCACAAGGTGTTGGCTCTATGAAATGTCTTTTCTTAAATATATTTTACTTCTGGGTTTTTTTTAAACATCAGCTTTAGCACAATAACTCCTTTTTGGTGTCTTTGCAGCAGCCTTATCACGTGAAGATGCATGTTCCAAAATAGTTTAAACAAACATCTTTAAAGAAGGTCAAGTTGTCTGACAAACATTCAGACAGAACGAGATGAGCAGATCTGCTTTCACTGATTATAAACATAACCCAATGCAGCTCTCAAAAGAGCATCCGCAGCCTTATCATTTCACTTAAAAAAAAAAAAAAAAAAAAAAAAAAAAAAAAAAACTTCATATGGCCCATTAGGAAAAGCAGGGTATTATA